GAGGGAAGTGTGGGAGGGGTGGAGGAAGTGTAGGAGGGGTGGAGGGAAGTGTGGGGAGGGGTGGAGGGCACTGAGGGAGGGGGTGGAGGTGGGAGGGGGGTGGAGGGAAGTGTGGGAGGTTGAGGAGGTGTTAAGGGGTCCACCATCAAAGTCACACCAACTGGCCTCCCAAACCTCTCTAGCTTTTTTGCCCAAACCCCGACCAACCGAGAAGGCTTACAATTACGAAGTCGGTCTTGTGACGGCCAACTATAAATGAGAAAAATGACGGCAGGAGTTTAAATTTTGCCAATTATCTCACTAATAGCGGAACTTTGACTGACGCAATTAATCAAAAGTAAAAAACTCTCTCTCTCTCTTCTCTCTCTCTCTCTCTCTCTTCTCTCAACCTCCCTACCTCACAACCTCACCACTACACCTCACAACCTTACCACTACTCTCACAACCTCCTCCCTACTCTCACAACCTCCCCACTACTCACAACCTCACCACTACTCTCACAACCTCCCCACTACTCTCAACTCCATTTCCCACAACCTCCCCACTACTCTCACAACCTCCCCACTACTCTCACAACCTCCCCACTACTCTCACAACCTCCCCTCTGCTCCCTCAACTTTGGAGTGGTCGAGACATCAGTGTGCAGAGTCAGGCCTTCCCACTTGTCCAGGAGAGGAGGAGACGACTGAACCCTCCTCCTCCTCCTCCTCCTCCTCCTCTTAATTTTTAGGTCGTCTTCTTCTTCTTCTTCTTTTTCGCTTTTATCATCTCTATCGCTTCCTTCTCCTATTTGTGTCAGTAACTGATTACCTATAAGTGATAGACTAACCTAACCTAACCTAACCTAACCCAACCCAACCCAACCTAACCTAACCTAACCCAACCCAACCCAACCCAACCTAACCCCAACCTAACCAACTAACCTAACCTAACCTAACCTAACCTAATCGGCTTTAGTTTAATCTTTAAAATGTGAGTCCAGTAAAACTAAAGTCTTTTGAATTGGGACTCACTGGGACTCACTGGGACTCACTGGGACTCACTGGTACCATTAGATTACAGACCCATTAGGGTAAGTCCCTTTAAAATTATGGCCCATTTGACCGGTCATCAACGGGCCTATAATGTGAACCTCACTAGGCGGCACTATAACCCGTACTCACTAGGTGGCACTATAACCCGTACTCACTAGGTGGCACTATAAGACGTACTCACTAGGTGGCACTATAACCCGTACTCACTAGGTGGCACTATACGCCGTACTCACTAGGTGGCACTATAACCCGTACCTCACTAGGTGGCACTATAACCCGTACTCACTAGGTGGCACTATAACCCGTACTCACTCGGTGGCACTATGACCCGTACTCACTAGGTGGCACTATCCCGTACTCACTAGGTGGCACTATGACCCGTACTCACTAGGTGGCACTATAAGACGCTAACTAGGTGGCATTATAACCCGTCCTCACTAGGTGGCACTATACGCCGTACTCACTAGGTGTCACTATAACCCGTACTCACTAGGTGGCACTATAACCCACTCACTAGGTGGCACTATAAGACGTACTCACTAGGTGGCACTTAAGACGTACTCACTAGGTGGCACTATAACCCGTACTCACTAGGTGGCACTATAAGACGTACTCACTAGGTGGCACTATAACCCGTACTCACTAGGTGGCACTATACGCCGTACTCACTAGGTGGCACTATAACCCGTACTCACTAGTGGCACTATAACCCGTACTCACTAGGTGGCACTATAACCCGTACTCACTCGGTGGCACTATGACCCGTACTCACTAGGTGGCACTATAACCCGTACTCACTAGGTGGCACTATAACCCGTACCACTAGGAATAACCTGCACTACTAGGTGGCACGATAAGACGTGCTCACTAGGTGGCTATAACCCGTCCTCACTAGGTGGCACTATACGCCGTACTCACTAGGTGGCACTATAAGACGTGCTCACTAGGTGGCATTATAACCCGTCCTCACTAGGTGGCACTATAAGCCGTACTCTCACTTGGTGTTTTACTCTGTCGGTCACATTGGATCTGTGTTCCCCCGGTCGTTGGTCACCAGCCGGGAGAATAGTCACGTTTTCATTTTGCTTCAACTTGTGCCATTAACTGCTAATGGCTTTTGTGTTCCACGCTGTCATAAACTACTCCGCCATTACGACAATGGCACCATGACTCTCACACAGCAACCGCCCACCGCACCTATGACCGCTGACCTCCCTCTACCGCTGACCTCCCTCTACAGCTGACCTCCCTCGACCGGTGACTTCCTCGACCGGCACTCCCTCCGACCAGTGACCTCCCTCGACCGGTGACCTCCCTCTACCGGTGACCTCCTCTACCGGTGACCTCCCTCTACGCTGACCTCCCTCTACCGCTGACCTCCTCTACCGCTGACCTCCCTCTACCGCTGACCTCCCTCTACCGCTGACCTCCCTCGACCGCTGACCTCCCTCTACCGCTCCAAACGTCGCCCGACTGTAAGGTTCTCAGCTGTACTAGTCACCCGTCAACAACCTTTGCTGACCTCTCCCACCACACATAAGAACATAAGAATGGAGGAAACTGCAGCGGGCCTATTGGCCCATACTGGGCAGTCCATTTACACCCATCCTCCCACACCCACTACCCACATCCCCCACCACACTACCACATCCCCACCACGCCCGGGGAGGTGGTCCTGGAGTGCCACCTGGGAGGAGGTGGTTCCTGGGTGCCCACACCAGGAGGTGGTCTGGGTGCCACACCTGGGCAGGTGGACCTGGGTCCCACGCCCGGGAGGTGGTCCTGAGTGCCACACCTGGGGAGGTGGACCTGGGTGCCACGCCCGGGAGGTGGTCCTGGGTGCCACACCTGGGAGGTGGACCGATGCCACGCCAGGAGGTGGTCAGATGCCACACCGGAGGTGGACCTGGGTGCCACCTGGGGAGGTGGACCTGGAGTGCCACGCCTGGGGAGGTGGTCGGGTGCCACACCTGGGAGGTGAACCTGGTGCCACGCCTGGAGGGGTCCTGGGTGCCACGCCTGGGAGGTGGTCCCGGGTGCCACGCCTGGGAGGTGGTCCTGGGTGCCACGCCTGGGAGGTGGACCTGGGTGCCACGCCTGGGGAGGTGGTCCCGGGTGCCACACCAGGGGAGGTGGTCCCGGGTGCCACGCCAGGAGGTGGTCCCGGGTGCCACGCCTGGGGAGGTGGTCCTGGGTGCCACACCGGGGAGGTGGACCTGGGTGCCACACCTGGGGAGGTGGACCTGGGTGCCACGCCAGGGGAGGTGGTCCTGGGTGCCACACCTGGGCAGGTGGTCCTGGGTGCCACGCCGGGAGGTGGTCCTGAGTGCCACACCTGGGAGGTGGACCTGGGTGCCACGCCAGGGGAGGTGGTCAGGTGCCACACCTGGGGGAGGTGGACCTGGGTGCCACGCCAGGAGGTGGTCGGGGTGCCACGCACCTGGGGAGGTGGACCCGGGTGCCACCCCCGGGAGGTGGTCTGAGTGCCACGCCTGGGGAGGTGGACCTGGGTGCCCCACGCCTGGGGAGGTGAACCTGGGTGCCACGCCTGGGGAGGGTCCTGGGTGCCACGCCTGGGGAGGTGGTCCCGGGTGCCACGCCTGGGGAGGTGAACCTGGGTGCCACGCCTGGGGAGGTGGTCCGGGTGCCACGCCTGGGGAGGTGGTCCCGGGTGCCACGCCTGGGGAGGTGGTCTGGGTGCCGCCCACGGGAGGTGGTCCTGGTGCCACGCCTGGGGAGGTGGTCCCGGGTGCCACGCCTGGGGAGGTGGTCCGGTGTGCCACGCCTGGGGAGGTGGTCCTGGGTGCCACGCCTGGGGAGGTGGTCCCGGGTGCCACGCCTGGGGAGTGGTCCTGGGTGCCACGTCCGGGGAGGTGGACCTGGGTGCGGGAGGTGGTCCTGGGTGCAGGAGGAGGTCCTGGGTGCGGGAGGTGGTCTGGGTGCGGGAGGTGATCCTGGGTGCGGGAGGAGGTGGTCCTGGGTGCGGAGGTGATCCTGGGTGCGGGAGGTGGTCCTGGGTGGGGAATTAATGTAAACACCAGCAGACACAAGCTCTGTCTCTCTACATCTAAATAATGACGTTAGTTATGTAGAGAGAGAGAGAGAGAGAGAGAGAGAGAGAGAGAGAGAGAGAGCTAGCTTTGCTTCCCTAGTAACATGTGGTACAGACACTCGCCTCCACGGACACAAGCACCACACCCACAGGATTCAATCGTCAGCTTTACCACGCAGCATTCATCAGCTCTCTTAACTATTTGTCCTTACATACTAATCCATTGACAGAAATTTCCTTCCAAGCTCCGGTCCCGCTCACGTCGTGCTGCACCCCCACCTCCTGTGACCACTTGCTTGGGTGTCAGTTAATGTGTAGCTGTGAGTAATACGCCCTTAAACCTAACCTAACCTTCAGGACTGAGGTGTACACAGTCTCCACGTCTTACAGCCAGGTATAGGGTGTTGTACACTCAGTCATCACCAGTCGTAACACTTGGAGTTCTTCACTACACAGGGACAATATTGTACAGTGCGTCTGGTCTTGGCAGGTGAACCAAACTGTTGTGTCAGCTCACCAGTTATCTGCTACAAGTTTTTCTTCATGTGTACGATTTTCGGCCTCAATAAATATAATGTACAACTAACGTTTCTGGCCTCGTATATCCTCGTATATCATTATATATATATATATATATATATATATATATATATATATATATATATATATATATATATATATATATATATATATATATATATATATATATATATATACAGCTGCCATAGTTGGCTGGCCGTGTTAATAATTGCCCCACTGGTGTTTTACAATAACTGTCATATTTCGGTTTAGTTACGTCCTATTTATTTTGTTTATGATAAACTGTGGCCGAGCAATTTGAAAATTTGCGACGAATGTGACATAATTTTGGTGGAGCAGCGATATTACTGTCAGGCGGCAGCAGACGGCCGCTGTGTTAGCCTCGCCACCACCAATACCTACAACAGTAGTGAACATTAAACTGTACCCGTGTCCATATATCTCCAGCCACCATCATTATATATTACTATATACTTCATCGTTATATATTGTCTTTTATATGAGGAATATCTTTACCCCAGTGTGTTGAGTCTTCAACTGTTGGTCTGGAACTTTGCAGGATATTTGTATAAGCGTAGGTCGTCATCATCATCACAATCATCGTCACAATCACCATCATCACTCTCATCCTCACCATCACTATCATCCCCATCATTATCACTGACATTATCATCACCATCCCTGCTACCTTCACTACCGTCAACACCACTCTGCTTCTTCCCTTCTCCCTTGTCACCACTATCATCACCATCACATATATCACAACCTCAACTACCACCATCACACATCACCATCAACGTATGCCTTTCTTCTGGACGCTGTGTCGGGGAGGGCTGGCAGTGGGGGATAGAGGGGCTCGTGGGGGAGAGGGGCTGGAGGGGAAGGGGACTGGTGGGGGAGGGGGGCTGGTGGGGAGAAGGGATAGGTATCACAATGTTCCTCTAACACACAATCACTCCCTGACAAGTCGCTCATAGTTCACGGTAAGTGGCCCACCGACCCGGCCCACCGACCCGGCCCACCGACCCGGCCATCACTCTCCCTACACCTGCGTTAATCACCTCGCTCCACCACTTGCCTGGGGACTATCGCCTCTACTGCATCCTGACAGAGAGCTGATTCCCACCCTGGCTAACATAATGACCCTCACTTAAGCCACCCAAATGGGATTTTAACCCTTATGGTGTTGACCCAAAGAGATTAAAAGCCCATCCCGCCGCCGAGTTTACCACACTCAACCACCGCTCGTGGGAATAACGATCTTAACCACAGTGGGAAATAAAGGTCATTATTCTTCACCGCCCTGTCATCCCTCCCCCTCGTAAACAAGGATGATCGCCCTTAAAGTAGGAGGCCATTAAGGTGGTGTTGTGTGAGCCGTGTGTCCGGATCAACTTTGTCAGCGACAGTTAGCGCGGTGCTGATAATGGCGCCGGGATCACCTAAATACCTCATTACAGGGACCTTATGGCCCATCATTTATTAGGTGTCAATATTAGCAAGGCCAGGATGCTACATTTCCACCCCGGACATGGTGCAGTGGACACGTGTAGGGGGAGGGGTGGTGTGGGAGGGAGGAGTAGGGGTAGGTGGGAGATGGAGGGGTAGGGTGGGGGAGAAGCAGGGGTAGATGGGGGAAAGAGGAAAGGAAAGAGTAGGGTGGGGAGGAGCAGGAGTAATATGGGGGTGAGAGGAGGGAGGGGGTTTTTGTTTACCAGTGAATAGATTACTCGACCTTCTAGTATCTATCACCTTCCTACTGTAATAATAATAATAATAATAATAATAATAATAATAATAATAATAATAATAATAATGATAATGTGATAATGATAATGATGATGATGATGATGATGATGATGATGATGATGATAGTACAACATCTCGGTTGCGTCAGAAGGCCCATTAAATACACAAGCCATTGATGTCTTTTATCAAGTAAAGTTCTGAACTCGGAAAAAAAAAAGTTTGTCGCAATAACGCGAGGTTGAACACACACTTAAAACTTTCTGGTGAAGGCAGGATCTACCTTTAAAAAGTTTTGTAACTTTGTAAAATTTCAGATGAGAATTTATGAGCCACTTATGACTTATCGTGAATGTTGGAACGACGGTGGCGAAGATGAGGAGAGAGAGAGAGAGAGAGACTGATCACTGCTACGCTGGACAGACTTCCATACAAGATTAGATAACAGCATAGATGACATTAGCGTCATATTATAACTGAGGACTAATTAGCATGGATTAATATTTTTATGATAGACAGCAAGAATGTCCTCAAGCACTCCTGATTCAATGTAGTAATTACATAGTTCATGATACAATAAGCCAGGTGGCCTGAAGTCTTTGATAGTGTCACATTCAATAATATAGTGTTCAAGTGTTATGCTTTAAAGGTTTATCACAAAGTTTACAGCTGAGTGTTCCGGTATGGGTACAGCGTCACTAACTTGCCAGAGGTGTCTGTATCCTAGCCTAATTCTGCCACGACTAGATCACATTGTCTGGTTCTGTCCTTGTGCTGGCCATACCGGTACCTGTTGTGCTGGTCATACCGGTACCTCTTGTTGTGTTGGCCATACCGGTACCTGTTGTGCTGGCCATACCGGTACCTCTTGTTGTTGGCCATACCGGTACCTGTTGTGCTGTCCATACCGGTACCTCTTGTTGTGTTGGCCATACCGGCTGTTGTTGCTGGCCATACCGGTACCTCTTGTTGTGTTGGCCATACCGGTACCTCTTGTTGTGCTGGCCATACCGGTACCTCTTGTTGTGTTGGCCATACCGGTACCTGTTGTGCTGGCCATACCGGTACCTCTTGTTGTGTTAGCCATACCGGTACCTGTTGTGCTGGCCATACCGGTACCTCTTGTTGTGTTGGCCATACCAGTTCCTGTTGTGCTGGCCATACCGGTACCTCTTGTGCTGGCCATACCGGTACTTCTTGTTGTGTTGGCCATACCGGTACCTCTTGTGTTGGTATACCGGTACCTGTTGTAGTGCTGGCCATACCGGTACTTCTTGTTGTGCTGGTCATACCGGTACCTCTTGTTGTGCTGGCCATACCGGTACCTCTTGTTGTGTTGGCCATACCGGTACCTCTTGTTGTGTTGGCCATACCGGTACCTCTTGTAGTGCTGGCCATACCGGTACTTCTTGTTGTGCTGGTCATACCGGTACCTCTTGTTGTGTTGGCCATACCGGTACCTCTTGTTGTGCTGGCCATACCGGTACCTGTTGTGCTGGCCATACCGGTACCTCTTGTTGTGCTGGCCATACCGGTACCTCTTGTTGTGCTGGCCATACCGGTACCTCTCTTGTTGTGCTGGCCATACCGGTACCTGTTGTGCTGGCCATACCGGTACCTCTTGTTGTGTTGGCCATACCGGTACCTCTTGTTGTGTTGGCCATACCGGTACCTCTTGTTGCGGCCATACCGGTACCTCTTGTGCTGGTCATACCGGTACCTGTTGTAGTGCTGGCCATACGGTACCTGTTATTGCTGGCCATACCGGTACCTCTTGTTGTGCTAGCCACCGGTACCTCTTGTTGTGCTGCATACCGGTACCTCTTGTTGTGTTGGCCATACCGGTACCTCTTGTTGTGTTGGCCATACCGGTACCTGTTGTAGTGCTGGCCATACCGGTACCTCTTGTTGTGCTGACGATACCGGTACCTCTTGTTGTGTTGGTCATACCGGTACCTGTTGTTGTGCTGGCCATACCGGTACCTGTTGTGCTGGCCATACCGGTACCTCTTGTTGTGCTGGCCATACCGGTACCTCTTGTTGTGTTGGCCATACCGGTACCTGTTGTTGCCCATCCGGTACCTCTTGTTGTGTTGGCCATACCGGTACCTGTTGTGCTGGCCATACCGGTACCTCTTGTTGTGCTAGCCATACCGGTACCTGTTGTGTTGGCCATACCGGTACCTCTTGTTGTGCTAGCCATACCGGTACCTCTTGTTGTGCTGGCCATACCGGTACCTCTTGTTGTACTAGCCATACCGGTACCTCTTGTTGTGTTGGCCATACCGGTACCTCTTGTTGTGCTGGCCATACCGGTACCTCTTGTTGTGTTGGTCATACCATCTTGTTGTGGCCATACCGGTACCTCTTGTTGTGCTGGCCATACCGGTACCTCTTTGCTGGCCATACCGGTACCTCTTGTTGTGCTAGCCATACCGGTACCTCTTGTTGTGCGCATACCGGTACCTCTTGTTGTGCTGATCCATACCGGTACCTCTTGTTGGTAGCCATACCGGTACCTCTTGTTGTGCTGGCCATACCGGTACCTCTTGTTGTGCTGGCCATACCGGTACCTCTTGTTGTGCTGGCCATACCGGTACCTCTTGTTGTGCTGGCATACCGGTACCTCTTGTAGTGCTGGCCATACCTGTACCTCTTGATTGCTGGCCATACCG